TAATTAAAATGTGCATTTAAACATTTAAGAAACTTGAATGGACATCTATCTAATAATACAACACTTAACCCTCACTGTTTAAATGAAGATAAAAAAAGATTAAGCCTTTTCTAATGATTCACTATGGTCATACAATACTAGTTCTGAGGGGCTACTAGGTCTTAAAGGGGGTATTTGTCCTGTCATTAAGTAGTCCATAAATGCTAATTTTTTCTTATGCCAGCAATTTATAGGTTTTTTACTTTCTTCCTCACTGTAAAAAGGTACCTATCATATCCTAGAACTACAAGAAACCTGCCTTTAGCCACACCTGCCACTTTCCATTCTTATTTTACTGTGGTAACCTAGAGTAAGGAAACTAAATATTTGAGTTTATAACAATTCAGTATAAATATAAGAGAAAAATAGGCTTCACCTTCACCTATAAGGATATCACTAAAAAGTGATTTACACAGACAGGTAATTCTGTTGTAAGTAGCCAAGACTGCAATATTAATTAACTCCAAAGAGTTTGTGAATTCTCGAATGTATGTCAAGTCTTGATTCCCTAACTATACTGGTAGTCAGGTTCTTAGGATTAAAAACTCATATGTCGAGCCCTCTCTGGTGGCGCAGCAGGTTAAAGTGCAGCACTGAGAAACTAAAGCCACTTCCGTATGAGTTCAATTCCCGCCTGCCCCGGAGGTGACCACATGGCGTGGCAGACCTCTCCTTACCTGCACGCTGCTCCCCTCAGCAATGTACTTCATAGATCTATCTGCCTCTTCTGCTCCCCACTCTGTCTCTGGTGAAGCCTCTCGCCACCCCTGAGCCTCTGGCCTGTACCCCAGTTCTGTATGCACAAATAAATAAATCTTTAAAAAAAAAACAAAAAACCTCATATGTCGTTTCTCTTTTCACATCATGGAAAGAAATGTGGACAAAAGCTAAGGTCACTTACTTCTAGTGCAGGTTCTTACACCAATGAATTGTGTAACCTTCCGCCTTTTTTTTTTTTTTTAACCTTGGTACTTGTCTTGCATAACTTATGAGACTGCTCTAGAATTAAATTAGATTGCAAACACAAAAACACTGTGAAAAGTATACAGTACAGAAAAGTAAAAGATTTTTATGGCATTTCAGTGAGTTTACATGAATCAATATAGGTATCCATTCAGAAAATTTATCCCAGACAGAACAGAGGGAAAGAGATAAATCTTAAACTGCTCTTTATTCATTAAGAAACATCTAGGCAGAACTAGGAGAATCTATTCCAGATAACATCTATATATTTCAAGACCTGGTATTTCTGATTCTTCCTCCTCTATGTCCAGTCAGTTCCCAGGATCTTTTTATCTTCTCCAAAATCTCTTAGATCTGTCCCTTTCTTTCCATTACCATGTCACAATCCCAATTCAGACCTTCATTATTTTACAACTGAGTTACTTTAACAGCTCCACTCATGGCCTCTCCTCACACCTTTGCCCACTATTTTCTAAACCACCACTGTGATTATTACATCTGCTCAAAAACTCCAGGGACTCTACTTTACCTTCTCTATCAAGTTCAAACTTCTAAGTTCAGCAGTCTCTATGTAGCCCTACTTGCCTCCTCATCTCTATCACTTACTACTCTTCCAAACGAATCTTTACTGAAACCAGCCTATTCTTCCGATATGCCAATGTATTCTGTCTCTTAGTGTTGTTGTATACAGTCTCTCCACCAGGAATATTATCTACTTCTCAGCTTCTATCTTAGCCTATAAAAATTCAACCCATTCTTCAAAGACTAGTTTGAGAATCACCTACTATATATACTTCATGCTTGTCATGAAGGAAAAGATGGCAGGTTCTAAAGTTAGACCTAGGTTTGAATTACAGCTTCAAGGCATATTCCTTCACGGTTCTTTGCCTCAGTTTCTTCATCTGTAAAATGGACTATTATGAGAGAAATAAATTAATTAGTTCATGTAAAGCACTTAGCATGTAATTCCTGGCATAGATGACACCTGAGGAGATGTTAGATACTGTTATCATTACTAAATCAAAATTTGACAGTAGTTAGGGCCATTAAAACTAGCTGTTTGTGTACCTACTGTATTATTCTCCTTACTCTCCTTTTCTACCCTCTCACTTCATACTTATGGGCAGAATCAATGTCTTCTGCATCTTAATATTTACAGTCATTCACACTCAGTACAAGGTAAATACATTTGTTTAATTCCTAATAAAAGAATACTGAGCTGACAGTATTCAAATCCCCTACCTCCACAGTGATAAAATATAATGAAATACTTTAAATGATTTCAGGCCCTCCCTCGTGGGACAAAGTGTTAGGAAACAGCACTACAAGGTAGTTGAAGCCCCTTCAGTGAGAGCTCAATCCCGGGCCCTGGAGGTAACCCACATGGCACAGCAGACCTCTCATGTCTCGCCAACTGATCCTCTCAGCAGTGTACTTCATCCATCTGCCTGTTCTGCTCTCCACCCTGTCTCTGGTGAATCTTCTCATCCCATACACCTTTGGCCTTACCCCAGTTCTGTGTGCATAAATAAATAAATCTTTAAAAAATAAATGATTTAATTTCAAAACTAAATTTCGAGCCTCACAAAATCAAGTCTCTCCTTTTATGGTCCTCTTGATTCATTTTGCTCTTTCTTTTAAAACAACTAAACCTCTTTATGCAGTAAGAGATGCAACAGCATATAAACACAGGTTAATATAGCAATCAAACACTAAAACACAAGGACCACAAGACAATGCAATGAAGTGAAATAGGAAGACAATTTAAAAGGAAAGATAACTGACACATCAGTCATGCTATCAATGCTGAGTGTTTCTCACACAAACATACACATACATTCACGCACATGTGCATGCACTCACACACACACACCAGTTCCAGGATTTCTTTGCACCAGGCCAACTTATAAACAACTGAAATAATTAGGTTTCTAAAGCAAGGTAATATAGAAATATCCCTTATTTAACAATACCATTGAGCTGACCACATGATCAATTTACTGACCTATGTCAAAAATAACAATTTACATATCTCAAAATTCTAAAGTAATCAAGTTTTGACTAAGTCATCAAGTAGATATGTCCTTACTGTATACTAATCATTCACCTCAAGAAAATTATTATAAATTTATATATGATTGCAACATAAAGTGTTTTTAAAATGTGTAGCGAAAAAGAATGTTATTATAATATTGTCTTCCAGTTTATATGCATGACTTTTTAGTCATGATTTTTTAGTCAAAATCAAATGCAGTTTGGTGACCACTATCCTCAAAGAGTATAATAGTGGGAACGAATTAAAATGGTCTGTTAATGACTTTTCAAAAGCTACATATTTTAGCATACTCACATAAGAATAAATTATATTAAATTTCTAGTCTTAAGATACTTGTCTTAGAGGACCCTAAAATGTTTCAACTGCTTTCAAGTGCAATTATTCCCAAATGACAGAATCTTAAAAAATGAAAAGAGTCTTTGAAATCCTCATTGTTGAGTTCTTTATAACTCCTAGGCAAAGGGTCCCACAGCCCTTGCTTGAATACTTTCGGCAAAGGGCATTCACTATTTGCAAGGCAGTTCACTCCATTGTTACACAATTCTTCTGTACAGTGATTAGAAATAAGCCTCCCTCAACGTCTATTCAAGGATCCTGCTCTCTGGAATAGCATAAGGCAAGTTAACCCCTGAAATACAATCACTGCTAGAATTAGAATATGGTGGTCAATTTTGTCACACAAAATGCAAGAGAAAACTCCAGGAAAAAAAGGGAAATCACACTACATGCAACAAAATTTTGAAATTCAGTAAACTGTTGTTGAAATCACAAGCCAATATATTTTCTTGGTTCACATCTCAGTTAACAAATAAATATTTAAAGTAACCCGAATTTTTACAATGGAAGATGGTACAATGTTTACCAAATACCTTTTAGCAATTTGACACCATTAAATCCACCACTGTAGCTCTAAATTTTACAGTTATGGAGGAAGTTAAAGATGGTTTTCCCAACTATTCGTATTTTCATTTGATCTATTTCCCTCTAACACATCTGGATTTCAAAAAAATATTCCATTTTGCCCCACTAGTGCAATATTTTATTTTTTTAAATAAAAAAGCCTAAAAGAATAAAGTGTAACTGGAGGCTGGGGATGGGGTTGGGAGTAAAGGCAAAGAAGGACCCAGCAGGAAAAAGCTGGTTCCTGGGTATTTTCCTCTGGAAGCATGCTTCACTGGCTACGGCATCTGAAACTAACGAGCCATACAAACACCACCCAAGAACAAAAACGATCACGAGCAACGAGTGTTAAGACATAAGTGACTGTAACATGGAAATGAATTGGCACTGGTCATCAAACAGCGCCAGACGCCAGGGGACCTTGATGAGGAAAGGTAACAGGTCCAAGAAGCAGAGACCACGACCACTCTTTGGGGGAGGGGAGGATGGAAGAATCCAAGGAGTAACTACAGTAGAGCAGTGCAATGAAGCTGAATAGTACCGAGCACGAGCAAGAGAGCAAGTGACTGGGGTGTGGGGAGAGGCAAACCCCACGGACAACCTGAGGAAAAGTGTGCAGTGTGCAAATGCTGAACGGGTCCATGAAACGGGTGTGGATAAGGGAATGTGGGTGTGTGTAAGGGGCAGCGCAGGAGCCCCTAGCCCTCTCCCTGCAGCAGAGCAACAGAGGGTAAAGGAAGGGGGAGGGTGAAAAGCAAGAATGACTCATTCCCGAAAGGAAGTGCCTAAGCCTTAGGAAGGCATGCCACGGAGGGTTTGGGGGGTGGAGCCTGAGGAGAGGGCGCTCACAGCTAGGTGCCCAGAGTGAAGGGAGCAAAAATCAACGTCCCGCAGTTGCTGCAGCTCGTCTTCAACATGGGGCGTGTGTGTGTGTAGCTGGGGGGTGGGGGGGGGGGTCGCGGCGGCCGAGTGCCGAGGCCTGGGAAGCGGCGCGGCGCGTGCGCAGTGGCGCTCGGCGGGACCCGCTGAGGCAAAGCGGAGCCGCAGTGACAGACGCCAGCAAAGCGGTCGCCAGGAGGGACTCACCGAGGCGCAGGGGCTGGAGGTGGTGCTGGGGGTAGGCGACCGCTGGACCGTAACCAAAGCCATCTAGGTGCTGCTGGGTTGTTCCGGGCAGGGCATTCTGGTCCTGAGTGTGGGGAGCGGGAGGGTGACGGAGCCGGGATGGGGTAAGGGGTGTGGGGTGGGGGTAAAGGAAACCGGGAGGGGGAGGAGGCCGCGGGAACGGCCGCAAGCTCCGCACCCACCACCCGACTCTCGCAGACTGACGCGCCGAGCGGACGGCTGGCTGGCTGGCGGGCGGGCGGTTCGGCAGCTGCGGGGCACAATGAGCGTTCCCAGTGCGCAGGCGCCACCTGTCAGCAACCGCCTCTCCCCTCGGCGCGCGCCGCCGCCTCGCGGTAACCCGTGAATTGCCGGAAGCTGGCGAGGTGTGTGTGCCTCGAGCCACCGCCCCCTCCCGGGTTTCCTCTGAGGCTCAGGGATCGCGCGGTTAGCTTGCGCGGGAGATTGCAGAGGGGTGGAGGCTGGGCCCGCTGGAGCCCCCTCTTCTGACAGACAACCATTTTAGGAAGCGAGGTGCACAGCTTAACGATCTTTAGTGAAAAGAATCTGAGGTGGGAATCCTGAGGCAAACACGTTTTCTGGTGGGAAAGGGCTTGGCGGGGTTTCAGACGCGTTCACTGAGAGTGAGACTTTACTGGCGCGAACTGGAGGAGAGTTTCACCCCCCTTTGACCTGGTTCTGAGGGGGCTTTCATGAGCTTGCCCACCGTTCAGTTTCAGAGTTCGGGGTTTTAGGTGAGACATCTTAAAAAGAAAATAAGATTTTAAATGTTGACGTCTGGGAAGCTCACGGTATCCTCGTACTGCCTCGGTCACCCTGGCCCCTAAGGACTCATTTGTTTTTCCTGAGTCTAAAAGAAGCTGAGCGAGTCTGGGAGGCCGTGAAAGCTGGGCTTAGAGAGTTGTAAGGGGTCCAACCTGCTGTTTGCCTCCCACTTGCTTCCTGCTCTGAAGAAAGTCTCTTAAACGAGATTTGCTTTCTGAGAATACTTCTTTTACCCTAGATTTCCTTGTCTTTTAAACATGTGAAATGTAGATATCTTAAAGAAATGCTTTTCTAAAAGATAAACCATCCGCTGAACATAAGCTAATAATTACTGGAAAAATCAAGCTTAAAGGGGGGGGGGGGAATCGCACTATGTCACACGATTAGTTACACAGAGAAAGAAAGTAGGCGAAGTTCTCGAATTGAATGGCCGAGTTGGAAAATATCACCATATACAGCAGATCAAAGCCGTAGAAGACACATTCAAGCCCACCTCCTCCTGTTTGTCACTCAGACTCCTCGATCGCATTGCTTTTTTCAACTGACAGTGCTGTAATGAGCTCTTCTGGCTGCTGAATGGTTAAGTGCCGCTCGGGCCGTCTGTGCTGAGCCTTTGTTCTCTCGCTGGGGCCCTGTGGTTGAAATAATTAGCAGGGAGTTTCCATCAAGAATCAGATACTGAGGGTCCCTGTACTGTACGGCCCTTTGCAGAATGTATTGCTGAGCAGCCAGCTGGTAGTCGTTTGCCCCCTGGTGGTGGTCAAGGGTGCCTGCGAGACAATTAAAGATGGGTGGTCCGCAGGTTGAAGAATCCGACTTTCCCTCTAGAACTACATAGCAAAAAGGAAAAGACAAAGTTCGTAAGAGCTTTGGACCAGTGCTTAGGAAACCAAACAAGAAGCTACATACATAGCCAAGAAATATACAGAGCTGAGTGAACTCAATGAAGCATGTTTATAAACTAAGGGGTCATTCTCAAAAAAGGTGTTAAATCAATAGATCTTAGCAATGTCTTAACTGACTGAGGGAAAGCAGCGCTATCGATTTTCGTGTAGCACCACAATCTTAAATTCTTTTGGAAGTTCACTTAACTCACTATTCTTACAGTGGGAAAGAGCCCTGGAGTAGGTGTCAGAAGATCTGGCGTCTAGTTACTGCTCTGCTAAATCTTAAATGAATGACTTAAATTTTTTGAACTAAGGTTTCTTTATTTCTATGGTGGGAACTCTAACTCACGGGATTCTTGTCATTAAAAAAGATAATGTAAAGTGCAGTCTACACTATAAGTCTTATGACAATAATGGTAATTTTATTATTCTCTAAGGCTGTTTCAAGCTCAGTCAGTTTTTACTGAAAATAGCATCAAGTAAAAAGGTAGTAAAAAAAGGATTCATCCCTATTTTTAATAGAAGTGCATTAGTGGTCGATATATCTTGTCAACAGGTTGGTAGAACATTTTTGTTCAGTATATTTGAAGTGATAAAATCCTGGTAAGAATTGTGATTATAAGGTGCTCAGATTCACACTGTTTATATTCATGAAGTTAATTTATTAGTTTACAGGGGAAATATCTCTTCCTACCTTTTAAAGAAAACTAAAATTTGAAAATTTTTGGTGATACCAATTAATTTATTATTAGTTGAGAAAATAAGAGTGTATTATATATTATACACTAAGGAAAAATAAAATTCCATATACCTCTCAGAGGTATATGGGGCCTCCCTGGTGGTGAAGAGATTAAAGTCTCAGCACTATTAAGCTGTCACCAGCCACTGCAGCATGAATTCAATCCCAAGCCAGGGAGCCAATCCACATGGTGCAACAGACCTCTCTTCTCTTGCCCACTGCTCCCCTTAGTAGTGTATTTAAGTAGATCTGCCTCTTTTGCTCCCCCCCCCTCAGGTGAATCTTCTCACCCCTGGTATCTCTGGTCTAGACCCCAGTTCTTGTACGCATAAATAAATAAAAATAAATCTTAAAAGAAGTAACAGTATAGCTTAGTGGTACTATGATTTCAGTCACCCCTGCTAAGCCTCAAAAGAAATACATGTACATACACACTCACATACTCACATATATGAGAAGTCTAGATATGCACAAAGTAGTATAGATACACAGGCAAGAAGTTCTGGGCAAATGTGTGGTTCATTATAATGGCTTTCAGGCTTTAGTTGTGGATCCCAATATAGCCACTTTGTGAACTGAGCTGGGTCACTTATGAGCATTTGAAATCTATACTCTCTGCCTAATTTATACCTACTAATTATTATAATGATAATTTTATTATTATATATCTATCTTCCCTGGACTTCATCCGAGTTTCTATTTGGCCTTCTGGTGATCTGAGGAAGGAGGTATATACTTATAATAAAAAATCCTAGAATCCTCTTACTATACTAGTTGAATTCAGGAGAGGCCAACAGCAGGATTCCCAAAAGAGGGAGCTAAAGAGACAAAAGTCCTCCTAGTTCTATTTGTAAATACCTTTATTCTTCCTATCTGTGATCATCAAGGCCTAGGTGTGCTGTTGGAGTTAATTTAATCCTTAACTCCAACTTCTCTGGAGATAATTTTAGACAAACTTGAAATTCTTGGTTCTTAAGCTTTGAGAATCTGATAAAAACTATTAACCTTCTTTCCAGAAAGATACACTTGCATATTTCATATGCATATGCTTGGAATCCATGAGGGACCCCAAGTTAGAGAATCCTGATCTAAAGGTTAAGTGCTTCTGGGTCTTTTTTTGTACCGTAAGTCCAGAGAAATAATGATGTGTTACAGGACACTGAGATAAATTAAAGGGATTTAGTGGGAACTATATGATGAAAAAATTTGTTTTCTTTATATAATAAAAAACCCACATGTTAGAATATTAAATATTGAATTTGTATAAGCTTCCATATAAAAATCTTCTCAAAAATTTAATGAAACATATGGGATTGTTTCTGCAGTCATAACGTTTTTATGTAGGATTGAACAAGACAGCTTCACAGTGATGGCTTCAAATTCTTGGTTGTCATTACAAATACTTAATTCATTATTAATGATTTAGTTTATTCAAGTAGGTGGTAAATTTAGAACAATTTTCATAACAATTCAAAATTTACAGTTATAAATTATGTTTGATTCTGATAACTTACTTTTCTCCCACTGGCAAACATAACATGGAAATATCTTGTGATAATGTGACTGGATTTAGAATCCATTCAAACTTTTCTTATTAAGTATATATTACAGAATAATGATGAAGCTCTAATTTGCAGTATGACTGGGTTATTAGAGCGATGAGTCTGCAACTAACTGTACATAAATAAAAGGGTATATCAGCAATAAACAAAGCAGAAAAATTCAGTATATATGAAGATAGTGATTGGGTGTTGAGTCCATAAGGCATTATCTGTCCTTCTTGACTGTACCTTAGGCTGAGTAGTGCTCCTTGGGCACTACATTCATCCTGCAGCAACAAGGCTCAGTGTGTATGATGCACAGTAACTGGCTTTTAAAAATACACCCAAGTCTGTACTACAAAGCCATAATAATCAAAACTGCATAGTACTGGAATAAGA